ATCATGATCAGACATCTCCATCTTCTGGGTAAGCTCCCCATAAGTACAGGCAGGCCTCTGGTGCCCCAAAGTTGCCCCTTCTGGCTAAGCAAGCCCAGGCCTCTCAGCCTCTCCTCACAGGTGATGAGCTTCAGACCAAATGAGGACCTCTCCTTCAAAGATGAAGGAAAATAGCCTCACACTGATGCCAGCTGGTCCCTCTGTGCACTCATGTGGCCCAGCCCCATGGACTTCTGTGGGTCAAGATTTCTCAAAAAATCACTGACTCAACCTTTCCTCTCCTCCTTGGACCTTCTCTGTGGGCACAAAAGCCTGGAAGACCTTCTCATTCCAGACCAAGGCAAAAAAGGTATTGAGCTCCTCAATTTGTCTATGTCTAGATTGCTCACTTCACTCAGCTACAGGCCCACATTTTCCTTGTTTTTCTTTTACTGTGACGGTAGGAGAAGAAACTCTTCCTGTAGCCCTTGACACCTTTTGCTAGTTTTAACTCAAGCTGAGCTTGAGCTTTCCTAACACCATTCTTGTATTGTGGGTCTATATTTTTTCTCTATATTCCTTATTTTTACCTTGTCTTGACTTTCATCGACTGTACGCATCACGTTTTTGGCATTGGAGTTCAGTCATGGGGTCCCTTCTTAGCCAAGATAGTCTTCTGATAAAGCTACTTGTTGTCTTGTATTGGTATGGGCCAGTCCTGTGCTTGGAGGAAGCTGCTCCTGAAGACCTGCCAGACCTTCCGGGCTCCATCGCCTTCACAGCTGCCACTCACTGCTTCCAACTTAGGCAAAGACCTGTGGTGGGTACTGTTTTTCATGACATTACTTTTGGGTTTTTTTTAATTCAAAAATCCATTTCAGTTGGGAAAAAAAATATGAGGAAGGAGTTTCAGAGAAGTCAAAACATATTTGACTGTTAAATTAAAAACAAAATGTTCCATAAAAAAGTTCTTTTTCCCGTTTAGTGGTATGAATACGTTATTTTTGTTTTGATATTCTCATTTTTGCTGAGGGAACCAGAACATATTTCTTTTAGGATTGGCATAAAGTAGACATTTTTATTTGGCCATTATCCTCTTTGGCCAGGTTTTTTTGCTTGATAATTTCAAAGTGATGAGTTCTGAAACGCTGAAAATCAGACTGCTTTCTGTGGGTAAGCTTTGCCTTTCACTGCTTTCTGAAAGTCTGGAAATGTGTTTTTGATAGAGAGAGGATCAGCTCCAAATCATAAAACTAAATAACCCTTCAAACTTTAGGGAATTCAAATTGCCAACCAGACTTCAATCCTGAGTTTGGTAAATGTCAACACCGTTCCTTGGGCAGTGAAGCGGGGTGAAGGAAGAAGTGTTAAATAGGATGGGGAGCTGCCTTAATTACTTGAGATGGGGAACTGCCTTAATTACTCGAATCAATTTATGTTTTTTTCCAGGAGATATTTAATTCAGGAACACTTGGTTATTTCATATCTTGTGACACTGCTTAGCCTTCTAATCTAGTGCTTTGGTCAGATGGAGAGAAGCAAAAAGACAGATGTTGATTAAACAGCATAGATGTTATTATGTGACTGCAAAAATGCCAGAAAGTTGTCCCATTTGCACTCATAATTTATAAGTAATCTAGAGATATGCTTTGAGGCAGTGACTTCATCTAAAAAGAATTACTAGTTCAAAGTGTATTAGTGTACTGCTGCTGAATATGGCTTGGCATTAAGGGTTTCTTCATCAGCATTAATTGGATTGAATTACCTGCAGTGAAATATGAGTCCTTTGAGGAAAAACAATTCTTGTCCTGATGGCTTTAGAAGCATAAAAGGGAGGGGGTGAGGTGGGGAGAGAGAGAGGGGGAAGGGGGGAAGGAAAAAGGCAACAAGAGGCAGCGTTCAGATAGTTTGAAGCAGAATAAGAGTGAGTTCGAACACGTTGTGGGTATGAGATCTTGTCAGGCAGTTTTCGCTGTCAGCCCTCCTGGGTGAAGAGCAAAGGCCCAGGCAGCAGTGTCGGTGGGACAACTTGGACCCCATGAACCACCTCCGCACACAAGGGGACAGGGGTGTGGATTCCAGCAGGGCAGGGCATCCCGGGCTGGGGACAGAGCAGGGAGCAGAATGAAACAGCATCAGGATGGTGCTTCAGGAGAGTGAGGGTGTTACTCACTGCCTGGAATGAGGGACGTTGAAGAGACAGGGTTGGCTCTCTGGATTAGCATTTGCAGTCCTCCATATTTGAAAGTTATATTATGAAGCTTGTGTAGTTTATGTGGAACCAATAACTTAATGTTTCTAACTTGGATCTGCCATATGTACATACTATATCTTTTAAAATATCCCCAATATATTTCCCCACATATCTTGGCTTCTTTTTTTTTTCTATGAGTAAAATGTTAGAGTTTATATTTGTTGCTCATCTTTACTACCATGCTTCCCCAATCAATAGAAACAAACCCCAAGCAACAGCGTTCTGTTGTCTCTTGATTACTCTTTGAGAAGGCTGAGGGCATGAACTGTGTATGAAGATTGAAAAGATGAGAAGGAAATATCCTTTCTAATAAATTAATGTTATCCTAGTAGCAGCTGTAAAAACAGGTGGAGTGACCGAGTAATAAGTTTTCACTCTGTCTCTAGCCAGAATGTAACCTTTCAGCAAACAATTTAGGTATTGCTAAACAAAGACATTGGGTATGAGTAGATCCAACTTGCTTAGAAAAAGGTATCTATGTGGATAGAGCTCCACCTCGCTACCTGCTTATCATTTGCTTCATATTGACAAAGGGCAGGACACAGAGCTTGAATGACTCTGCTGCTGGAGTGACACTCAAGAGCCCTGGTAATGGCCTCTTCTCTTGAATATTGCAATTAAACTACATAGCCAAAAGTCTTACTCCTACCAAAAATACCATTCCATGAAGCTTCATCATACTAACCGTACATCATGTGCCTTCTTTTCTGTCCAAAAGTTTAGCTTTTTCATCTTTGATAAAATCCCTAAAAAATGATGCATTCCGGCTCCTAGCAAATCCTGTTTGAAGTATAGAATAGTAGCTCTTAGGTACTGTGAATGTGCAAGAAATGCCTCTGTAAGTCCAGAGGTAAACAACAGAGAGACAAATTTACCCAACAAAGCCAGTGTAATTTTGAAACAATATCCCTTAATCTATAGTTAGGTGAAATCATATTAAAAGTGTTTGTCTTAATAAACAATGTTGCTAAAGAGACCAGCTTCGTGGTAGCTGAGCACCCTCAGTGTTTCTTCATGTATCACAGTTAGTTAATTGGAAATGGTTTGATTATTGCAGGGCACAGTTACAAGTACTGTGGCTTGGAAGCATTAATATATTTGCTTGTTTTACGTCTGAACAACAGTTTCCCAGGGAACCAAGTACCGTCTTTTGTGTGGAAAAAAAAGAGAGGAGCCCAAAGCCCATCACTGCTCTGTGATGGGCTCCTGTTGGAAGTGGAGCTGGCTGCACTCTTGTTGTACGACCCATTGTAAGATCCTGTTTTCAGCTATTTGTAACTCTGTTGGACTGGAATAACTTATGTTGAAATTTTTTTCAAGTGATGTATTTGGAAAAAACTATCCCATATTTTGGAGTGGTGTGGACGTAAACAGTGAAACATAAGAACCTCCAGGTTAAGTGACACTGGGGCCATGACTTTTGGACATACACCATCAATTCCTCTTACTCATAGTTTGAGGTAATCTGGATCCTGCTCCGTATGCCTTAAGTGTGCCTCCTTGTTGAAAACTGTGCCTCTAGAAGTGCTATGACAGTGGGGTGTTTGATTATCCAGCTGTGGTTATCTAAAGTGGCTGGAGTACAAGTTCTCCTCAACAAGCAGAGGAACTGATGTGTTAGGGAAGCTTTTTCCTTCTGACAATTAGAAATGGTAAGTAGAACTATGTATGCTCTGTAATTAAACCAAAACTGTTACAGCAGTAATGACACCAGAAAACCTAATTCAGTCTTAGGTTTTGCTGAAATCATGTATTTTTGACTAACAGCTATGCACTACAACTGTGTCAAAAACTAGGGGACCCAGAAACTAATCTTGTTCATTTACTGTTTAGATTTTTTTGAAAATAACAACCCGTCATCTCTGGTCTCTCTTCTCTGTCATCTTTTTAGCTTGATTTTGCCTCCTATTTTAGCTTGAATTCCTCCATCACACCACAGCAGAGCTGAGAAAATGGGATTAGGCCCATTCATTGAGGCCTGCTTACTTGCCCTGGATATGGGACAGGGAAAATAACTGCAATTTGATTAATTTTCACAGACCTTACATGACTTGCTGGCTGAAATCAGCCAGCAGCAGGGACTTCACAACTGTCCTCAAAACTAAACTTTCAAATATCCTGTAGTAGATATTTACCCTTTTCATCCAGCTCCATGTGGTATTTGGAGGTCAACAGAATACATTCTCCACGGGAGAAATGATGCAATCTTGTCATGGCTTTGGCACCAGCAGTCTCCTCTCTGTCAGGTGTGACGCTCTCTGTGCATCAGGACAGCTCTGCATGACGCATGCTGGAGGAGACCTCTGGTGCAGGTGGGAAGCTGTCACCATGAGACACTGGGTCCATGTGAGTGACAACCTTCAGATGATCAGTCTCAGAAAGAGGGCCAATTCTGATACAGTAATTCCCACGTCTACTGTCTGAGTCTTGCAAACTTTTAACTTGCTTGAGACGGGCAATACTGATCTGATCAAGGATTACCAAGGGAAAAAGAGAAGGAAATACTGTTCTGTTCTACCGGGCATCTTTCAGCAGTTTTTTTCAATAAAATATGATAAATTTGCTAAGAGTCTATATTCAAGGAAGAGAATATTTCTCTTGGAAATTCACTGTAGTATTGTTTGAACTAAGAAGCTTGTGAAAAAGGGAGTCAGTATGGGCATTTAAAAACTTGCCATTAGTTCTTTTTTTTGGTTCTTTCTTCCTTGAGGGAAGAAACGTCCAACGCGAGCTAGCACAGCTTTAAACACAACTTCTGTATTTTCAGGGATTAAGCACCTGAAGAGTCAGAGTGAGTCAGCGTTTCCAGAGGAAGAAGAGGGAGTCAGTGAAAGGGAAGAGGAGTGGGGCCATTGAAGAGCGGGGTGCTGCCTGGGGCCCCGTCCCGGAGAGTCACGGAGCCGCGCAGCCGCGTGTGCGTCCCACCATCCGCCACCGCTTGTGTCCCCACACCGCAGCGCTCGGCCTGCCGGCGGCTCCCCGGGGAGCACCCTCAGCTCAGCTGGGCTCTACAGCCGCCTGCAGATGTGTCTCGTGATCCTTATACCCACAGATAAACCGGTTATTTTAAATTCTTCTTTCTTTCATTTTTCTATGACTTAGAAATGTAATTTGCAAACGTGTTAGCGACCTGACATCAGTACTGCCAGAGCTTAACTACTGCGTGACCTGTACTCTGAGACCTGTTGTAAATAAAACTGATTTAAAAGCTACAAAATAAATAATACGTTCATATAGACAAGACTGTATGTTGTACGATGGGTTTTTCTAGCGTGCAGAGAAATGTTCATATGAAATAATCCTTTCAGTTAAGGGCACCTTTAACCAGTATTGTTAGAGTTACTTACATTAGTGTAGATAGAAACAAAGTGAGCAGAGATGACTCTTGGTCTAGTGAAGAAAGACATTCTCTCCTGTGTTCCCTGGATATACAATGCTTAAAGTACTTTTGCTTTAGTCACATCAGCCAAAACAATTTCTCTTTATGCAAGATCATTGCTGTCTGGAGGCATTAGAAAGTTTTGGTTTGGGAATTGAAGGAAACACAGGGATGTGTGAGACCCATACGCAGGGTCCCATGCACCAGCTGAGCTGTGGAAAATGCCAATATCCACCTTTGTCACCTGTAGCAAGTCCAGGGTATGGCCTTCTCTGAGAAAGAGGGACAGACTGCACTGCATTTGTCACAGCTTCAGCCAGTAAATGGCAGTATATCAAGCTGCGGTGATTTATCTTCTGTCTGAGCCCTAGGATTTTTACTTCAAGTTTGGCATGGTTCATACCAACATTTTCATTTGCTAGACCACACAAATCTCTATGGCAGAAAATATAATAAAGTGGGGAAGGAAAAACACATTTCTTCAAAGTCACACTTGACAGATCATTTCTTTTTTTATCAATGACTTTTGAAACACTTTTGAAACCAGTTAATTGTAATTTTGTATTAACTGTTTGCCTTTGATACAAAATTTTATCCTCCATTTATCTTTCCACTGCTTTAAGTCCCTTTTAAAGGGCTGAGCTAGCAAAAAAAAAAAAAAAAGAAAAAAAAAAAAGGAGAGGAAGTGTAAAACACAGAGCCTTTTGTCTATGCCTCGCATGGTAGTTTCAGTCTCAATCTGAGCTCTTCCACAAAGACCTGATGAGAACAGGATCTGTCAACAAGTGTTTCTTTATATTTGGGAGCCATCTTTTTGCCCTTAGTCTGTATCTCTGTATCTGTCCTCTTTGTTGTCATTTTCTGTAGAAACACTGCAAACAGGATCTGTGACTCCAGCTCAGTATGGGTGTGCAAGACAGACTAAAAGAAGGCCTCTTCAGTTGTACAGAAGCAGCTACGAAACTTAGGGGACTGAGGGCTTTTTATGCAACAAAAAACAAAGCGAAGGAAGTCACCCTTCAGAAAACATTTGAATGGACCAAAGTTAAGACTGGAACGGCAGTAAGAAGAGCTGGGCTCTGGTCCCAGCTTTGCCACAGCTTTGCTTTTGCACAGCACCAGACTCTTCATGTAGTCACTCATTGCCACAGCACTCCCAGTTGTAAAACAGTCATTGGAGTTTAACCTCACACCGTCTATCTGTGTTGTTAATAAAGAGCTAGTTAATAAAGAGCTTTTGGTATTAATGGCTTTTTGCTGGTTATTAGAACCCAGAGACCAGATGAGGACTGTCTAGGACTTATAGGCAAATCAAAAAATGTACGTGAATTATAATATTGTATATAATATATAAAATGTATAAAATATATAATATTATATAATGTATATATTAAAAATATATATATAAATAATACTTGATACCAAAACATGGTATCGAACACTTTAGAATCTCAAAATTTCAAAGGCAAAACAAAAAGAGCTTGGAGAATTCATCATTCAACAACACACAGGTTCAGGATGACTGTTGGAATTGAGGATGATTACACTTTATAAATAATAGGAAAAAATAAAAGGTGGATTTAGTTTGAACTGGAGATGAGCGTTTCCAGGATTGTTACTGCAGCAACAAGGGGACAACAATTCTGTTTTACAGTCGTGATCTGGATGAAACATCAAGGTCCGATAAGAGCCTCAGATAGTCACGCCAGTATTTAGATGCGGCTCTAAATCCAGGTCTTATCACCTCCCCATCTCTAAATATGCCAGCTGCATTCTATAATTCTAAAAGCCTGCTTCTTTCTCTCTTTCTTGACCCAAGGTTATGCAAGCAGCATGTCTGAGTACAGAAATAGACCACTCCTTTCTAGCAAAGGGCCAGGACTTGTTGCAGAAATTTTACTATAGCTCCATCCTGACATCATTTGCTGGTGGGATCTCATCGGAAGGACATAATCAAGGTGCACATTTTTTAATACCTCAGACATTTTTAGCTTAAAAAGATAAGCAAACCCTGTTTGTCTGATCTTCCACTTGTGAGGCATACAGCGAGTGGAGCTATAAGGAAAGAATCAGTATAACAACAGAGCCCACTAAAAAAGTGCTTGTCACGAAGCAGAGCTGAAACACTGCAGTGAATTGTGAGCAAAACCCATGATAGAAATATCTCAGTGTGGGGAAATCAGAAAGGAAGGTCAGAAAAAGCTGTCTACTTACTGAACTAGGTCTTTTCCAGGTTTTGGCGCAGCCTCTGACATTTGAAAACAGCAGCCCTAAACGGAGAGCCTCTCATATGCTTCGGTGTGTAATTGGAAGCTCTGGTTGTCTCACAGCACGGTGAGCTCCACATGGGTACACCCGAAGGCTCTTGATCTCTTTGTGGGAGGCAGTGGTCAATCATTGCTACCCGAGGTGTGTATGTCACCAAAGCGTGGATTAAAACAAACAAACAAACAAACAAATCCATTAATTTTGTCTTTTGTTTTAGTGTATGTGAATCAATAGGGGATTGAGAAAGTAGATAAAAAGTTAGTGAACACCACGTGTCCCAAAGAAAATGCCAATATGAAAACACCTTAAAGGAAAATTATAATGACATGTTCCCTGTTTGAGCTGTCTCCTCTCACAATACCTGCTCCTGCTGGGAAATCTTACAGGTTTGGTGGGAGTGGGATTTTTAGAGATGGATTGTATTAGTTCACTTTCCACAAACAGGCTGGTGGAAAAAGAAAGCAGAGAAAACCCACCCAGGCAAACAGTGAACATACTTCTTACCTGATGAGCAACTCTGATTTGTGTCTTTTTCCCCTTTCCTCCTTCGTGTTTTTAAATCTACCACCTTTCCATGCTGTGGTATGGTTGCTCTTGTTCTCGCTTTCAAGGTATTGCAGGAAATGTTGTTTGCAGAATTGAAAGGAAGCTGTCTCCTCGGACTGATCTCAGTCTTTTCCCAGTATCCCTTAAGTCATTAAAGTACAGTAGTTTAAAGGCGTTTTGTTATTGCATTTTTCAGCCTTGTTTCTTTTTCTTATGCTATACTTGTTATTTCATGACAGGTTCTTCCCTTCAGAGAGATTTATTGAGACATTGTGCTAATAAGTTATTTGGAAAAATTCCACGTCCTGACTTACAGGATGGTATATGTTGTTTATTCTCCAGGTGTAAAACCAGATAATACTTAAATAGATACAAAGTAGGAGCCAAGATTTAAAAGTCCTTTCTAAACTATCATTTCCACTGAAGTCAGAGGATTTTTCACTTGAGAATGGCCACAGGTTTTGGCAAACAATATACTTTCTTTTGGGGAAATATGATGTGTAGTGTACAGGAAAGCTTCTCTTACTCTGCTATTAATTTAATGACTGAATTTCTTGCATTTTTTTCATATTGCCATAAATGTTGTTGAAGCCTTCGAAGACTACCCCACTGTTTTCTCGTAATGTCATTATTTGTCCCCAGTAATGTAAACTGAAAAATCACCATTAGTTCTTGCACTGCTGGTGTTATTGAACCAAAACTGTTCTCTCTCCAGAGCTGGTGAGGGTAGGCTGCAGTGCCGCCGGTGGCTGTGGAGGGAGCTAAGGAGGGCTCCTGCAGGCTGCAGATCTGCTTTTGTTTGAGCCTAGGAGTCTGCAGAGTACAATGAGAAGTCGGTGATCAGTGCAGGGTGCCCCTCTCATTTCCTTTCTCTTACAGGCTGAGACACAGAGTTTTTATGAGAGACCTTATTCCTGCAGTACATAAGGTGTCATCTCTCCCCTGGCCCTGGGGGTACAATGTAATGGCATATTTAAAACATGCTGTCCCTAAAGCTTTCCTTTCTTCTGCTCCTGTGGCATCCACGTTGGTGCTTAGGCCCACAGCTATTCTCTTTCTCTTTTTTCTTCTCTTTTTTTTTTTTTATTTCTTTAGCAGCTTAATGCAATGGTGAGTTGCAGTAAGAATTTCAGCTGTTCTGTTGGTTCCTGACATACAATTACATCTGACCTTTTCACACAAGGCGTTATACTTGGCAATAAAGTGGATGCTAAATGTCTCCAATGCTTTCCTGCATTCTCTCCTTTATCCTCCAGCGAGAAGAGCAGCACTTCGGGTAAACCTCAAGCAAGGTATTTGTGCACTTTCTACTAAACCTCGAGCCACTTGGTAACACACTACTGATCTCCAGCTACAGCAAAGTTGGCTGATGGAGTTTATACAAGTCCAGTATCTATAGAAGGGGTATTTCTGCTATAGGGGATTTTGAAATTTGGTTTTGTTTTGTTTATTAAATAAACGGGGCTTTCTAAGGCAGAAAGAATATTTTGCACTGCTGCTAGGCCAAACAGTTTCAATTTTGTAATGATCCATTTGCTTAGTATATACTGACCCTTAGTGGTAAGCTGAGATTCGAATTGCATTGCCAAGTTTCTGAATTTTGCTTTTCTCTTTGGCCCAACTGTTCAGAAAATGGCAGGAATATTTGCTGTGCATCAGGACAGTCTATCTATGTAAATAGCCCACATTGTCTTCAACAGACATAATAGGCATGTTAAAATAATGATGACAGGTGTTATTAGCTCTTCTGAAGGGAGGGCTGTGGGAAGCGGGGGTGTCGAAAGGTTATTCCAAAATGCAAAACAAAAACGTTGGCATTGAGAAGCAATACTCTCCACATAATGAGAAACAAATAAGAACTCAGTATCTGGCACTAACGAACACCTCAAGCTAACTGTGCAATGAGTATTAATTAGGTTTCCAAAATAGCATCTTTCTGAAAAGCAGCTGAGGTGTAATATTGCTCCTTATTAATCAAAGCAATGGGACAATGTGAACTCTGCAAAAAATA